GAATTTTTAATGAATTGTTAATGAATTATTGCCAGATTGTTAATAAATTATTTGACAAATTGTTAATAAATTTTTTGACAAATTATTAATATGCTAATTTTTTTGATTGCCAAATTTTTGAGTATTAAATTTTTAATTGTCAAATTTTTGATTGCTGAATTTTTGATTGCCATTTTATTGCTGAAATAGTAATATGCTGAGTGGCAGCAATCAAAAAGAATTTGGCAATATTTTTATTATTAAATTTAATCAAATTCGACAACAATTCCACTACTGAATAATACAATTTCGACTAGTGTAAATAAATATATTAAAATTTAAATTATAAATTTAAAAAATAAATTAATCAAATATAAATAAACTTTTATATAATTATAAAAATAAATTAGTTCTTGATAGATTTTAATAAATCAAATTTATATCAAATAAAATATTATCTTTTTTTAATTATTAATAAATTGATATAAATATAATAAAAAATAATATTGGATTTAATTATTAGAAATAAAAAGAGAAAAATAATGTAAGTGATTTTATTTTTAGTTCCATGCAATATTTCTGCAATACAAAAAGTATATAAATATATTTTGTTGTTAGTTTTATATCAGTTTTGCAAAAAAAAATATCAATTGTAAAAAAATTATTATAATTTTAATAGCACATGAAATATAAACAAGTAGTTTATATTAAGAGATTTAATAATAAATAAACAAAATTTTATTAAATAAAGAGAATATATCTTTAATATCATATAAAAATATTTTATTAATAAGAATAATATTTAATAATTTAAATTTATTTACTTATTGAATTTTAATTTAATTTGATATTTAATTATTAATTTTATATATTGATAAATAACTTATTAAATAAATATAAATTAAACCAAATAATATATTTGATAAATATAATAAATTATTAAAATGTTTTAAATAATAAAGAATTTTGTAAATTTTATTATTAATAATCAAAAAAAAATTTTTTACTATATATATAATTATAGTTTTATAAAAATATTTTTCAGACATGAATTATTAAATTTAATGAATTTTGTTAAATTTTATTAAGTAAAATTTACAAAAGATTAATTACAATAATTAATCTAATTGAATAAAAATATAGTGCAAAAAAAATAACTTTAAATTTTTACCTTTTATTATATTTATTATATATAAATACGCATATAATTATATGTATTTTGATACTTTTTATTTGAAAGAATAAATAGATATTAAATAGATTTTGAACAAATTTAATGTTTGAAAAAATAGAATTCCAATGAATTTTTAATCTAAATTTATTATCTAATAGTTATTGATAACTATTAATAAATGATTATTGAATTATTAATATAACTATATTAATAACTAGAACTTGAAATTTTAAACCAATCAAACTTCAAAACAAGTTATAGTTATTTGATAGATCAAAACTTTTTTTTCAAGCAAAAAAAAAAATAAATTTAAAAACATAAATTTAATAGTTTCTGCATGATTTGTAATTTTAAACACAAGTCTATTTATGATAATATAAAAATGTCATTATCGCACTGTAAATTATCGAGTTAGACGCAAATTATTTAAGAATCAATAGCAAAAAAGTTGTAACATGCGTACTTTGCCAATGCAAATACTTTACAAAGACCAGTGCTCCTGTCACTAACGTAAAAATATACACAGGAATGAACATTTATAAACTCGGGTTATGCCAAACGTTCATTTCACCCCTTGTTTTTCACACTATCTTTCATCATTCCCTTCTTTCTAATACGCAGAGATTCATTCCCTACGCCTGAACCTGCTTCAAAACTCATGTATGGTATGCGTTTCCACGGTATCCCACAGACACCCGTAGAATGACTTTTGGCATGATCCAACATAAACCATATAGGCAATTCTAGTTTTCCTTTGACCATGGCATTAACTTTTCGCAATTGGTCATAAGGAAGCGGGGTAAGGATATGAAAGGTGTGGGTGGTTGGATCTATTGATCGTATTATTGCTAGACCTATACAGGAGTGCTCGGGTGGTGGTGGCGGTGGATAGTCCGGGCACGGAAAGTAGAGGGGTGGTTGCTGTATTAAAAGATGTTAATTGTTTTTGCATATAATTCTGTGTGATTATAAAAATCCTGTCCCTACAATCATCGAGTCTTTTCTTCCCAGTAAAATTTCCTTTGAAAAAGTATTTTCTTCGGAGCGCTCTTGATTATCATCATTGTACTCGGGGACGTCACCGATCATCGCGACCAACGACCCGTTCAGGGCGTACAGCAACTGACTCCAAGGGACATCTCCGGACAACAAAAAAATTCCTTTGGACAATCCTTTGGTCCAGTCCAAGCACCATGGAACCTGATAGATCAAAGGTTTGTCAAATTTCCACCATTTAACATCATCCCGTTTTTGCCCCAGAGCAGCGTCCATATAAAAATAAGAAAGCAATGTTAAATTTCGATGATCTGATGAGTTATATCTCATAGGAGTCTTTTTCGAATCGACAATCTCAACAAATATGACTCTAGGTGGATCCTCGTTCGGTGGAGAGGTGACGTGATCGGGAAGCGGACGAATATTTTTATGAGTGCTTGTGGGCGAGTACATTTGAATGATGTGCGTCGGTTTGATAAGACCTAGGAGATGAATCAAGAGATCGAAACCCATACCCTCTAATGCAGAGGAAAAAAAAAAAAAAAAAGGTCAGATGTTTCAAAATATAACTTTAAATCGAAAGATATCACCGGCAATGTTCACCTCTAACCCATCCGTGGGTATTTATGACCAATGGAATATGTAGAGTCTCATCATCCGCGTGCATGCCAAATTCGGGGCCACACGCAATATCACGACGGTATGCGACAATTAATTCGCGCAGGCAATTCAAATAATAATCAGGATCATCGCGGGGAGTGTTATTACCCAAGAAGTAAGATCGGTAAGGTTGTTGAATGTGCGTAAATGGTGGGCCTGTCGATTGCGTTACAATGTACGACATTTTTATTAGCAATTAATCCACTACGAACACGCGAGGGACCAATGTTACCGAAAATAGGTGAATCCAAAATGTTCAGAGATAGGAGGCCGGATGGTGTGAATTCGGATTGGCCGATATCGCTTTCAATGTAGGCAACCTTGGGACAGCTGAGGACGTTGTTAGTTATGATGTTATCGACGAATGCTCGAGTGACAATATAATATCTTACTTGTTAAACAGATTATTTATCAGGTATCTAGAAAATGTAGACTTTCCAACATTTTGGTGCCCACAGACGATGGTGACAGGCGGAATACCTAACAACACAAACTTAGAATTTTGTCTTGTCGAGATTATAATAAAATACATCATCTGCAATAATTTTCTCAGCACATACTATATTCAGTAGTGGCTACGGCAAGTTGATTGGCAGCGCTTTTCCATGAATCGGGTGTATCGAGGACCGTCACATCAGGGGTAACGTCAAGAATCTATTAAATGGGAAAGGGGTCAACATAATAGTAGCTCGTAATAAAAGATATCTTGAAATTCGATCTACCGGATGAAAGCCTGTGATGTCAAGCAAATCTTGCTTCCCATTTATGCGTTCCACGGAAAAGATTCCTTTGAAAAAAGGTTGTGCTAACGATTCCACGCCCTTAACGCCACACCATGACATCCCGCGAAAAGCTAGAATAGTATCAAACTCCTCTTCAACAAGGATCAATTCATTCAAAAGGGAGTACACTATCTTAGTGACTTCGGGCGGTGTGTTTATTCCGGAATGTGAGATCCGTTGTATTTCGTTGTTTCCTTTTTTTGCCGACTCGATGGAGATCGATGCGTGGGTTTTCGGAGAGAACAGCGGATAGAATATAAGGTCATTGTTTTTGATCTGCTCATATTCTGAGCAGTCTTTTATTGAGGTTGTACCGGAGCTCAAACGATAGCCCATGACGATTGCGTCTCCATATACGGTTGACGCGAGAACACAACCTTGGAAGTTTATCGTCTTTTCTCAATAGCAATACAAAATTACAAGTTAGAATACGTTTTTTTTTTTTTTTTTTTCCTTTTTTAATCGAAATAACGAATGAGAAACGCGTTTTACCTCTCCGCACTTCATTCCAACCACACAAATTTCTGTTTTTCCCGGTTCGCTTGAATATCGGAAGGTATTGCTTGCCGATGGAACAAAGCGTGAGACGGCCGAAGGATCGAGAGTTAAACTGTTAAGGAAGAAATTGCCGTGAGATCATGGCAATAAATTAAGGAACCTCGTATATCGACATGACCACCTCTTATTTCTCTTTCCTTTGGGATTGATACCATCCATAACTTCGTCGACATCCTCCATTTCCTCGTCTTCATTCTCTACGTCCTCTGCGCGTCGAAATTCGGTGCTTTTTTTTTTTTGAGGAAATCATTTTTTTTTTTGCAGAAAGTTACATTCAAAAAAAAAAAAAAAAAAAATTGAACTCGCCGGATAATCTACATGCGTGTTATAAAAAAAAAAAAATTGTGAACCGCACATCACTCATGCAAGACGGAACATAATTCACGGATTCATCCGTGTCAATTTCAGGTAAAATTATATCACACGTTTCCAAAAAAAAAATACGGAATCGTGTGTAAAATCGGTAATTGAAAAGCTAATCCGTTTTAACACAGTGTCGTCAGATAGTCTCGCGAATAAGCGTGTCGTAAGTATGGGTTACAATAAATTAATCATTCGAGAAACGTGAGCATTAGGAAATCGCGACATGTTTAATATAGATTTTTATTTACGAATATACAGTAACTTTCCGTAGATCATTTTCGACAGGCATGTATAACTCGACGATAACAATTTTAATTTTTTGTTCACTTCGCCATGATCCCATCATTTATTTTCCATATTACGACTTATTTTCGATCTTTGTACAACAACATCTCGGTGTCCATTATTCCCTTTTAAACCTTTGGTGGTGCCATTGAATGGAATCCAGCGAGGGACACTCGTTGAACAGTTTATCCACATCCTCATCCATGAATGTTTCAACACCGATGTGAGAGAACCTGACGAAAAATGTTTGCAGATTTCTTAGCTTCGGCAGCGATTCCAATACATCCTGTTTACACGTAACATGTTCATTCAAGGATGGCGCGAAGGAAGTGGTAGGACGAGGTGTGCATTGTATACGCACACACATACAGACAGTATATATATATATTTACATATTGCGGTGAGTCCCTTTTAGAATTAATGATAAAAGGATTCGATCGTTTGATTGACACGTACCGATTTTTGTAATCCCGTAATACTTTTTAACTCCAACTTAACCAACTCCAATCCTTCACAGATAACCCCAAAAGACATCTTATTTAATTCGATTTCCATCAATGTCATCTCTTTCAATCTCTCCTTCCTATGAGTACAGTAATCAATGATTCGTCCCGGGTCACAATCATACAACCACGCTCTCAAATCCTGTTCCGAGGCCTCCACGCAGCTGTCCAACACACGATCAACCTTTTGCACCGTAATCCTCGGACAGTTCTTGTAATGTTCCGCTGTGGCCAGCACGAACGCCGTTGTAATCTCTGCCATGTTGGTCACCTTTAACGTGACCAACTTTGGACAAAGCTTGAAGATATTCAACAAAAACTCTTCACTCAACGAGATACACTGATGAAGCGTCAATGAAGTTATATTTGGGATTAGTAGAAAAATTGGAATCATAATTTCATCTTCGTAATTTTTCTCGAAAATCTCAATCCGACGAATTCTTCGACATTTCTCCACAATCCACAGTAAAACTTCACCGGCACACACGATGTCCTTTTTTAATTCCAAGATCTCTAGGTGAGGACAATATTCCGCTAGCGCTCCTATCGCTCTCCCATCGTTGATTTCCACCGAGTCGGATAATCTAAAATGTTTGAGGTACATCAATCGCTCAGCGAAATCGTATACTTGATCTTTGTTCAACACCCTTTCCCCGATACAAAATTCCTCAATTATCGGACAACAATCCAAGGTTTCGAGTATGGTTTGATGGTCTAACTTAAGTCTATCTAATTCTAGTATGCGAACATATTTTCCGTAATTATGAATGCACTTTCCTTCCTTGGCTAATTTCAAGACTCGTAAGAATTTTGCGAAGGATTGGGTACGTTTGTCGTTCTTCAGTCCGCGAAATTTGTACCACAATCGTTCGGTGGCCACCCGATTCCACCAACGATTCACCCTGGCGAAAGGTAAAACGTCATGTTCTAAGGGAATGTGAAAGAAGATGTTGCTTAGGATTAGGGAAATCGAGAATATTTGGTGAGAAGTGGATTCCTGCATTTTTGAAAGGAGAATGAAGATTGATTGATGTTCACACTATTTAAAAAATTATTTGATCGGAATTGACACTTTTGTTCTTACGTAATACAAGGGCATCCAATTTCCTTATGCGGTCAATAACCAAATCCTTACATTTCTACTTTTGCGAAATAAAATAAGTTTTACAAAATAAAAAGAAAACAAAAGAAAATGGTTAGCACTACACGTAATTTCGCGCGACATAACAAATCGCAGTTCTCTCTACATGAGAGCGCATATTTGGAATTTATTTGCAACACGGTGTTCGCAGTAATCGTCTGTTACATGGTTCACTGGACTGGCTACATTTGTCATGAATAATTTTAACCAACACCCCTACTTACTTAACGCCCACAATTTTTCATATTTTTGCCGGAACAGAACGGCGACGACGAGGATCTGTTTTTAGGGGTGTAAAGCTTAATGGGTCCGGAGAGCGTTTGTTAAATTCCGTGGACCGTTTCTGCTTTGTCATTATCGTATTCCTCTTTCGTTTTCTCGGGTCGGTTTTCGTGGGGGAATAGTTGAGTGGTTGCGGTGAACGTTTGTAAATGGTTCCTACACGATTTCGAAAGAGTGAAAGAAATGTTGAGGAAAGAATAGATGCATACGAATAATTACTCACGTGTCTCTATAGATTCGGATTCTGCATTTGCATTTCTAAATACCATCACGAATAACAACGCTATCGTTATTAGCGGCTGTAGTATATGTTCGACTTTCATTTTTGAATTTCGTAATTTAGCTACTTTTTCGGACTTATAAAAATACACTGTGAACCGCCGCACCACTGACGAATGTGACCTAAGCGCTTTCGACGTTTCGAAATCGCTTTGAAATAATCTAATCTAATTTTGCTTCGCAATGGATGCTCTGCCATGTCTTAGATCTAAAAAAGGAACAAAGTACAACGAATGAGTCTCGATATTTTTTTTTTTAATGCATTCACGTCAAAATTTCTTTATCAAAATTTTTTATATTTATCTTTCGCACAACACATAGCCCCAATGTTACCAAAGTGCTTTGTGTTTGGTTCAAAACGATGCTAACCTAGATTTCAAACTATTTATGCGGTTCTACATTGTTTCCATAATGGATGATTGAATGGTACATACTTTCAGATGTCCCATAAAGGGCTTCATTTGTCTAGAAGCAATCATTCTGGAATTTTTCGATAGAGGAGCACGTACGAGGCTTTTGTATGCTAACAATCACCCAACTCATTATGCCTGAGGCTTCGAGAGTCAGTAGGATATTGAAAGCCGACGGGAAAAGATAGCTTCAATTATTCATGGCTTTGAACACCATCTCACTTTTCATTGCGGTTGTGTGTGGCTGCTCCATATTGGCTTCGCCGTTGTTTTAGGACCTTAGAAAACACGTGATGTAAATTTGGCAAACGGTTTTTTTCTTTCCTTACGCATCAGTAAAATTTAGTGAAGTTCGTCGCCTTTTTTTCGCTGACTGACAAGGAAAACATCTGCACGTGATCAAATTGCCCACTCCTGACAACAATATGCGAAAGGTAATGTTGTCAAATTTGCCAAAGAATGTTGACAAAAGTTATGGAATTGAATTCAACAATATTTACTGTAGATTATTCATAATCGTGTGTGTTTCGGTCTAGCACATTACTCGACGCATGAAGTATAGCGCCACAATGCGAGATGTCAACATAAATTCCAAGTTATTCCTTGAATACCGTCTACGCAATTTTCACACGAGAACTGACGTTGGAAGGTGTCCGAGGAGAAATCACTACGGCGCCGTAGGAACGTATAATAATAAATCGATAATATAAAGAATAGTGTTCATACAGATATAGCGCAAAAAATTAACTGAAAGCTGACAAGGATAATTCAATTGATTTGAACCAGGAAGGTGTGAAAGGAAGAGCCTTGAATGGGTGGCAATAAATTTTTCTTTATCTTTTTGGCACTGTTCATCCTTGCCTGCCTGACCTATCATTACCTGATGAGCAATATTAATGGGTTCTCCGAAGATGGTGAGGCTACATTAATCTCCCTTCACTTTTTACCTCCCCACCAAATATTTCCTTCAACTTTCGTTTATTTATTTTATTTATTTTGCATTAAAGTATTCGAGATTGACTCCGCCGGGTTTGACCCGATACCTCCGGATCGTTATGTTGGTCGTTACTATCGAAAACATCATGTTTCTGCTCACAATCGAAAAATGAAACGCGACATGGGTTGGGAAGATTCCTATGTGGACGAATATGCTAGACCCGGGCAATGGTAAGAAGATTATCATTGCCGTGTGAGAAACGATAACTCATGAATCTTCGCTTTTTCTTAATGCTAACTTTATAGGCTCCTATTTCTACTTGCATGGTGAATAGCGAAATGCTAAAACCCCCAGGATCATAGCTTCAAGATTTTATGAACCTTTTGTTAACAAAAATATTTCTTTCTACTTGAATTTAAATTATATTTCAAAAAAAAAAAAATTTTTTTTTATGATAACTTATAGTATCGAATATATTAAAAATCAAAATAAAGTTTGTCCTGATATACACTTTTTTTCTTTTTTTTTTTTTTTTTAATTGCCAGCTCAGCTATGTTTATTAGCAATAATAGAATAAATTCAAATTACATTGAAATTATTACAACTATTAAGAGTGCTAGAATATAAAAGAAAAACACCAGATTGCTACCAAACAAAGATCTAAATTTTCTCTACTATCAACTATCCACTGAGACTAATACCAAGGAGAAAGTCAACACCTACTGATTATCTATCAGAGTATTGTATCTCTTTATCTTTGAAAGGGAGAAAGTGAATACTTCTTTTATATCTTCTTCTTTTCAGATAGAAGGGGGATGATTTCAAAAGTCGGTTTTATTAATATTATCTTATCTGGGAACTTGTTTAGGGAACTATTCATCCAAAGATCAGGTGGGATCTATGGTTAGAAGAATACCTTAAAACCTGTGAGGAGATTAATAATTAAATCCTAAGGATAATACTAGCTTCAAACATAAGCTGCTTATTTAAAAAGGTATAACTTTTCCAAAGTCAGGTTAAGTCTTTAGAGAATTTTTCAATCTGATAATAATTTTCAACAAGTATTTTTATTAAAAGTAAGATTAATAAGTATTACTAGTAACTTAAATAACTATGCTTGAAGAGAAGTTATGTTAAAAGTCTTGATATGAGTTTTAGTTTGTAGTCCTCCCACAAACCATAAATCAGGAATAAAAAACTCACTGATTAAGAAAAACCTTCTATTCACTTTATTTGTTTTTATAAAAATGAAACAAATCTTTATTTATCTGTAAGAACTACTAGAACCTACTTAACTACCAAGAATGGGTAACACTAGTCAAAAAATATTTATTTAGCATAATGCTACTCATATAATATTTATCAAAAAAATAAATAATTTGTCAAATTAATGATATACTATAAATAAATCATCAATTAATTTCTACTGTATAATTTGGCATAAATAAATTGTTTATCAATTTCTACCATATAATTCAATATTATTTGCTATATAATTTACATCATTTTTGCTATATATTTCATTAAAATTTTTCTCAAAAATTTGTTAAACATTTATCAAAATTTATATATTTATCAAATTTTTAATTAAATATTATATTTATGATTTAAAAAAATTATACTAAATAGTTATAAGAATCTTATCAATTTGAGATTCTATATTTAAATAGAATAAATTGATCAAAAATATTATAAATAAGAATTATACATTCACATCTAACTGGATAAAATTTGATACTTCACAATTCAACATTCATACCATTTTCAGATCTGAAATAAAATCTATTTTTTATTAAATTAACCAATTTGTACCATTAAATAAAGGTCAATCAATATTTAATAATATTATTCAAAAAGTTTACTGAATGTGTAAAGAAAAATTGAATTTGTTCTGGATATAAATTAATACTTTTATCATAATTCATAAATTAAGCTAATATAAATAAACCCTTAATATTTTATGAAGATATAACAGAATTGAATATTTCACTTCCAATTCAGTATTTATTATATTGATCTACTTTATTATTACCGTAGACCACTGCATACAATACCCCTCCTAAAGTAATACCCCCTCTTAAATAATATCCAATAGTATTTAAAAAAATTGTTACTCAATAAATGAT